CTCATGATCACCGGTGGCAATACAGGGGGCGATTCCACCAGCCAGCGGAAGAAGTGGGCTCAATCGCTTTACGTGGGGGAGGTCACTCATATGCCCCCGGTAAAACAACTGAGGGAGGAACCCATCACCTTCACCAAAGCAGATCTCCCCCCTACTTCTTCTCCTATCAGGGATGCCTTGGTGATTCGGACTGAAATAAACGACACCATCATTCACCGAACTTACATTGACACGGGCAGTTCCGTCAATGTAATGTACCTCAGCACTTTCAGAGAACTGCATCTGGAGAGGGGGTCCCTTCGGCCCATTAAGACCCCTCTTGTCGGCTTCACCGGCGATACTATTGATTCCGAGGGGGTAATAACCCTCCCGGTAATCTTCGGCGACGGGCTCCATAGAGCCCAGCTCGAAGTGGAGTTCGTCGTTGTCAACATCGACTGCGCCCACAACATTATCCTCGGCCGACCAGCCCTCGAGGACCTCGAGGCCATCATCTCCATGAGGCATCTCTGCCTCAAGTTTCCCGCCGAGGGGGGCATTGGCTGCTCCCGGGGGAATCAGAAAATCGCCCGCGCCTGCTATCTTCAAGTCACTAAGAAGGTAAGCAAGACGGAATTCCGCGTTGACACCATCACCGGAACCATCGACCAAGAAGAAAAAAGGCGGAGGGCTGAACCAACCGAGGACGTAGAAGACTTTGCGCTCGATCCGGCCCAGCCGGAGAGAGTCGTGAAGATTGGAGCCCAGCTCCCTGAAGATCTGAAGACCGGTATCACCGACGCCCTCCGCGCCTACTCCACTATCTTTGCATGGGGGCCGGAGGACATGCCGGGAATCAGCCGAAGGGTCATCACCCACCGCCTCTCGGTGGACCCCTCGGCAAAGGCAGTACAACAACGAAGAAGACCCCTTTCCGCCGAAAGGAGGGAATTTGTGAAGAAGGAGGTCGCCATGCTCCTCTCCATTAAGCACATCAAGGAGGTAAAATATCCCTCGTGGCTAGCAAATGTAGTCCTCGCACGGAAGCCCCCTACCTTCCGCATGTGCGTGGACTACACCGATCTCAACAAGGCGTGCCCTATGGATCCATTCCCTCTACCAAATATTGATCAACTGGTGGATGAGACCGCAGGGTGTGAGATCATGTCCTTCCTCGATGCCTTCCGAGGGTATCACCAAATTTTTATGCACGAGGAAGACGCCGAAAAAACTGCCTTCATGACTCCCGAGGACATCTTCTGCTACCTAGTAATGGCCTTCGGCCTAAAGAACTCAGGGGCCACTTACACCCGGATGGTGGCCCGGGTCTTTCAAGCCGTCCTAGGGCGCACCATGGAGGCCTATGTCGACGACATGATCGTCAAGAGCAAACAATCTTCCAGCCATGCTGACGACCTCCGGGAAATCTTCGCCATCATGCAAAAGTTCGACCTTCGGCTAAACCCGAAGAAGTGCACCTTCGGCGTCCAAGGGGGCAAGTTCTTGGGCTACATGGTGAGCCGAAGGGGTATTGAGGCCAATCCCGAGAAGATCCAGGCCATCATCAACATGGAGCCCCCACGCAATGTGAAGGAAGTTCAACGGTTGACGGGCCGCCTGGCAGCCTTCAACCGCTTTCTATCTAAATCAGCGGAGAAGTCTCTACCCTTCTTCCAAATCATGAGAAAGACGGCTGGTTTTCAATGGACTTCAGAATGCCAGGAGGCTTTCGACGAGCTCAAACGATATCTATCTTCACCTCCTGTGCTCTCCAAACCCAAGGTGGGGGAGACCCTCTACCTCTACCTTGGGGTCAGCCCGGCAGCCATCAGCTCTGTGCTCATCCGGGAGGAAGACGGCATCCAACATGCCATCTTCTATGTAAGCAAAACCCTAAGGGAGGCCGAGCTCAGGTACTCCCCTGTGGAAAAAACGGTGTTAGCCATCGTTTGGACTGTCAAGAAGTTGAGCCACTACTTTCAAGCTCACCCGGTTCAGGTACTCACTCATCAACCCCTCGGCGCCCTCATGAGGAGCCCCACCAGCTCCTCCCGCATGGTGAAATGGGCTATCTTCCTGAGCCAGTACAACATTGACATCCGTCCGAGGCCTGCCATCAAGGGCCAAGCCCTGGCGGACTTTGTGACGGAGTGTACCGCAAGGGCAGCCACGGACGGGGAGCCCTCGGCTACCTCGAACGATTGGTGGACCCTCTACACCGACGGCTCCTCCGCGACCAAAGCATGCGGGGGAGGGGTGGCCCTCATTACTCCCGAGGGCTTCAGAGCCTACTATGCAATCCGCTTTTCCTTCAAAGTCTCCAACAACGAGGCCGAATATGAAGCCCTCCTATGTGGCCTTCGGCTGGCTGCCAACATGAGGGCTCGACAGATCCACATCAAATGCGACTCCAAGTTGGTCGTCGGCCAAATCTCCGAGGAATATGAGGCCAAGGAGGGAAGAATGAAACAATACAAGGAAGCGGCCAAGGAGTTGCTTAAGGTATTTGAGGCACACTCTCTCACTCAAATACCGAGGGCTCAGAACTCCGAGGCCGACATATTATCTAAGCTCTCGGCCGACTCCCCCGAACACATCTCCAAAATTGCCAAAATTGAGGAACTCAGCCTCTCAAATATCCATGCGAGCCCCGTTATGAACATACAACAACGACAAGAGGATTGGATCTCAGATATCACCGCCTTCATCTCCACAGGGCAGCTACCCGAGAATGAGACCCGCGCTAAACTGGCAAAGCTGAGGGCTCCTAGCTACACCATCGAAGATGAGGTGGAACGCCATGTGTTTTATTTCCCTTCGGCACCCAGTGCCGAGGGTACATCCCCACCTTCAACATCAAAAAAGAGAAGATGAGAACACCAAGTGTTCCTACAGAAGACCCTTCGGCACCCAGTGCCGAGGGTACACCTCCATCATCGAACATCGAAAAAGAAGAAAAACACCAAATGTTTCAAAGAAGACCCCTCGGCACCCAGTGCCAGGGATATGCTCTCCTATCAGCTTCCAAACATCTGTTGGGAAACACCAAGTGTTTCCTCCGAGGGCCCCTCCGGCACCAAACACTCCAATCAGAACACCAAGTGTTCCTACAGAAGACCCCTCGGTACCAAGTACCGGGGGCTACACATCGAAACTAACACCAAGTGTTGTTTCTAAAAGTCGTACCCCACGAGGACGCATATACCGAAGGCGCCACCATCGGTGCCGGCGGCACGTAGTGCCCCAGGCCATTTGCAACTAGTGTGCAAATGAAAACCCTTCCTTGAAACGCTTTCCGCGTCACTACCCCCAGGGTATGACAGGCATGAGAAATGCCCAGGATTCGACTTTCAAAAACGGAACGCTATCCGCGTCATCACCCCAAGGGTATGACAGGCACGAGAAATGCCCAGGATTCGACTTCCAAACCGAAACGCTCCCCGCGCCACCACCCCAAGGGTGTGGCAGGCCACGGACTATGTCTAGCGCCGAGGGGACGACTTTCAAAAATGAGGCGCTTTCCGCGCCATCCCCCAAGGGGAGGCAGGTTACAGACCACCATATCTTGTGCCCAGGAAACGACCCTCGATCCCCTCGGAACTCAGAAGGTTAACCCGAGGGAGGAGAGCCATTGGTGTATTCTGATGGTCTCCTAATAGGCCCAGCCTTACCAAGAAACCAAGTTTCTTGATGCCTTCCCTTCACCACCAACCATAAAAAAAAAAGAGAGAGGGGGTGAAGGGGAGTAGACTCAACGAGAAATCGAAGAGTACACTCCAACAGATCACAACATGCCGAGGGATACTACTCAAACAAATACCGAAGGCATCTGTTATGCACTAATACCGAGGGCCCCTACCCCATTACAAGGGACGCAACTGGCTAAGTCAGACTCTATAACTTTTCAAAGTGGATGCCGAGGGCACACACCCCTCATTGGTTTTCTTCACAACAACAGGATTCCACACTTCTCCTAAATCCACACTTTTGGAAAATGACAGCAACTGGAGGTTAATATGTCACCAGACAACCGAAGGCATCTCTTACAAATCGTCAAAAGCCAACCAAGGGGACTATTCCAAAATATTTGCCCCTCGGACAGACTCCTCACTGACCGAAGGCCCAATATCTACGACACATTGTGAAATTTTGCTAAGTTCCACATATTTGGCCCTCGATCACATACTCATACAACTCAAGGGCCCCACGATCACTCGAAGGGTCCTATTCATATACCCGGAGAACTCTACATCTGGAAGCTCGACATCACTTTACGCTTAGAAAATATTCTAAGTCCTAAATGAGTAGCCCCGGGCATCTCGCGAAGTGATGTAGAGTCAGAGGGCACCTATCACCCGAAGGCGACACAAGGAAGCAGCACTTAAAAAAAAAATCTAAGTCCAAAAGATTGGGCCCCCGGCCCAATCAATATTACAGCTAAATGAATATGACAGTCGAAGGCTAGGCATCAAGAAGGGAGGCCATCTCCCGAAGGCTCCCAAGGGAAAATCTACACTTAGAAAATTTTCTAAATCCCACATATTTTTCCCCCGGTCACCTACTCATACATCAAGAAGGGATGCATCTCCCGAAGGCTCCCAAGGGAAAATCTACACTTGGAAAATTTTCTGAGTCCTACATATTTTCCCCCCGGTAAACCACTCATACATCAAGAAGGGATGTCGTCTCCCGAAGGCTCCGAAGGGGAAAATCTACATTTAGAAATCCTTCTAAGTCCTACATATTTCACCCTCATCTCAGGGGACCTAATAGCCGAAGGCTACCTATCAATCAAAGGCCACAGTACACAAGGAATCAATACTTGCAAAAAAATTCTAAGTCCTGTACATTGGGCCCTCGGCCCAACATTCACACATCAGGAAGGGGGCTACCAACCGAAGGCTTCCAAAGGCAAGCTACAATCAGAAAATATTCTAAGTCCTAGGCATACATGCAAAAAGGAGAAGACATACACTCAAAAAAGGAGAAGGCATACATTCAAAACATAGGGCGCATTCAAATATGAAGAGCCCGGAGGCAGCATGCATTCATCAAAAACAGAAGTGAGTGTAAGGTTACAAACAGGCCGAAGCCGAAGGATCAATGTTGTTCATTACAAAATATGTTCAGACATTCCTAAGTATAAAATCACTCAACAATTTCGACAGCGTCATTCCCTGGGGCGTCCTCTGCAGCCGGCCTCGATGATACCTCCGCTCCGGCCTCAACAGCGTTGTCCTCGGCCTCTTTCTTCAGCTCTGTGTCCTCAAGGTCGGGCCGTTGTGCACCTTCGGGAAGGGAGTCACGGACATCAGGCTGCAGGGGAGGGAGGCCATATGCCGAGGGGGCGAAATCCTTTGGCTCAATGCCCAAGTGCCGGGCCATCCTCCGATAGATGAGGGCCTGGGTGAAGAATTCGCCGGCCTCATAATATTCTCTGCCCTTCCGGGCCATCCATTCCCACCCAGGGCCCTCGGCTCATTCATCAACGCGTGCCTCCACGACCGAGGACACCCACGTCTTGCGCCCCTCGGCTCTCCAACCCTCGGCGACGAAGGCGTCAACGGCCTCCTCCTGAGCCTTGGCGACGGCTGACGCTTTGGAATCCTCGGCCTCTTTGGCGGCTCTCCTGGCCTCCTCAGCGGCGGCCTCAGCATCAGCCTTGCCCTTTTCTGCAGCCTCCAATCTTAGGTTCATCTGCCGAAGCTCCTCTTCTAGCCTGGCCCCCAGCTTCACCGCCTCTTTGTTCTTGAGGATGCACTCCCTCATTTTGACGTCCTGCTCCGCTTTGTGAAGGCGCCATTCTTGGAGCCTCCGGGCCTGTTCGCCGAGGGCTAGACAAGCCTGTAGATCAACAACAAAAACAGTTAAAGGCAATCACACAAAATGATCAAAGGAGAAGATGGAGAAAGCCAAGTGAACACTTACAGAGAGGGAGGAGCGGAGAATGTGGTCCTCGAGGGCCGCATCATTATAAGCCCCGAGGGCAGCTCTATCCGTCTCAGGGGTTATGCCCCTCAAGATGGCCCCCGGGTCGACAGCGCCGCTGGCAAGGGAGGTACCCCTCGGAAACGAAACTTGGAGGACCTCAGGCAGCAACTCCTCTGCCCCCGCCGGCGTTCCACCCGACAGCTTCTCCACATGCACCCCGGAGGCGGGGTGCTCATCAACAATTATGACCGGGGGCTCCTTATCGGTGATATCCCCCTTCTTCGGCTTTTTGATAGCCGGGGGGGACCCCTTGGTCGCCGCCTTCCTCTTGCTGGCAGCGGCATCGCCCTCGGCTCTCTTGAAGAGGGCAGTGGCGGGCTTCTGGTTGCCCTGCCCCGACCCCTTCGGGTCCTGTTTCTTCAGGCGAGCGAGGCCCTTCACGTTCACCATGGACACGGGGATACCTGCAAAAATACGACAATGGATTAGGCCGACGGGTCTAAGCGAAGGGACAATGACGTCCAAGCAAAACAAAAAAAAAAAATGGCTAAGTACAAAAATCTAAAGCCCTCAGCTCCTACCTCCGGCTCCTCCGAAGGCCTTGTTGAAGGGAGGATACTTCTCATCGGTCTCCCCTATGAAGCGGTACCTCCGGAACCCGAGGGTGTATAAATCCTCCTCGAGGGTGCAATCTTTGATCGCCACATTCTTATTTTTCCCTTCCGGGAACTTGGCCAGCTTTAGACCGTCTTTCTCGAGGGCAACACTCCTGATCTTTTCATGTCTTCGGAATCGATCGCGCAGCTCCCTCGGGAATGGGTTCTCGCCCAACTTCACATAGCACCAACATTCCCTCCATCCTTTGTTTGAAGAAGGGGCATCGGAGAATAGTTTGAAACGGGCAATCTGCTGCAGGTTCGCGTATCCCTCGCCGTTTTCGTGCCCCCCCGGCACAAATTAAAGCTCTGGAAGAAAAGATCCAGGTTGGGCTTCACCCCTCGAGATTTGCAGAGCTGGAGGAACCCCGCAATATAGGAGTGGTTGTTGGGCGTAAGCTGGCAGGGGACTAGACCAACAAACCTCAGGTACTCCCGAAGGAACGGGTGCAGAGGGAACCTAAGTCCCATAGAAACCGAGAGGACGTGAATGGCGATACACCCCTCGGGCGCCCTGGACAACACGTCGTCAGGACCTGGCTCCACCACTTCGGCCGAGGGCCCCACGTGCAGCTGAGTCACGTACAGATCTGCCCTATCGGCTTTCGACCTAATCTCGAGGGCCTCAGTGTTCAACCAACTGTACCCCTCGGGCGTGTCCACTGGCTTTCCTTGATCGACAGCCCTCTCCTTCTTCTTGGTGGCGGCCTTCGCTTTCTTCTTCTTCAACCCGGAGACCGCCCTCAGAGGTATCGGATCTAACGGCCTTGAGCTACTTGCTTCCCCAGAACCTCGGGGGGGGGGGGGGGGGGGGGGGGGGGGGGGGAGAACAACAATTGTAACCTTCGTGCTCTCATTCTGCGCCTCATCCTCCGCTACTTGCCATGCGAGGGCTAGGTCTTCATCCTCGCACTCTTGCTCGAAGCCCTCGGCTTCGACCTCAGCAATGAGTTCCTTCTGAACCTCCCGGGCCAGGGCGGCATCAGCACCGACCGAGTGCTCGCTCACGGACTCCGCATCAGAAATGTGCTCCTCATCAACCGAAGGGTCCCGCGATATGTTTTGGGAATCGCTCTCGGACGACATCTTTTATCACGAAATGTGCCTAAGATTTCGAAGGATTTCTACAGGACCCTAACCCTAATCTAAGGCCAGAGGGCGGAACTTACTAAAAATTTTGAGGGGAAAGGAGAACTGACCTCTGAACGCTGAGTTTTGACCGAAGGCCTGTGATTCTCTCTCTAGAATTTTTGGCAGAGCTTCACTAGGGATGTTGGATGCGTAAAGAAGGAATGGCCTTTGGCTTGGGGTATTTATAGGCTCCCCGATCCGGGCTTGGGCCGAGATCCGGGCTCCCAACAACCAAAGCCATCATTACGCACCGTCGTTTCACCCAACCGGTGACGCCCGCCCACGGGCAACCAACGGCTACACTCCACGTGTACCCCCCCCCCCCCCCAACGGATATAAATCTAACGCTAAATATTCCAACGGCTATATTCTGGAAGCCCCCGGGTTTTCTACTTCACTTCACTTCATCAAGGAGAGCCTCCGGGTACACTTACCTAGAGACGCCCCCGGGTCGTGCCCCACACAGCACATAACAGACGCCTTCGGGATCACTCCTTCAGAAACCCAAGGCTTCATATCAGGGCACCCCTCGGGGATTCCCCCTCAGCACTTTAAAACGGGGAGTTGCCTCATTGACGGATAGCCTACGGCACACAGGTAATGGGAGCCCTCGGGTATCTTCATCACCAACTAATCAACAAACAGTGGACCCCCCGATAACAACTCCACTGCTGCCCTCATCCATCAGGCCATCGATCCCCAGATTGAGGGACTCCCCTTCGGCAACCCCAGGACATCAAAAGCAAGCCTTCGGCTAACCAACACATGAGCCCTCAGAAACGAGAGCCTTCGGCATTACCGTTATTCTCCATTTTTGACCAAGGTTTCGCATTTTCGATTCATCATTGGGGGAATTCGGTGCACTCTTTTTCCCTTATTAGGATTTTTTCCCACAGGGTTTTTTCTAATGAGGTTTTTAACGAGGCATCCCCCCAAAATGAAACGAAAAGCGTCAGCCTTCGGCCCACAACAGCAATGCAACTACTCTACTCCTTTTCACCACTTTACAAGTGCCTCAAGGAGTGGGGGACTGGAGGATCCCCTCGGGAAAATCATTAAATTACAAAATTTTTGAAATTCCAACAAACGACAAAGCAAACCCTCAAGTCCCGACATGTGGGTAACTGAGGGACTGCCTTCGGCAGGGACATAAAGGCAACAACTCCTCACCAACTTCAGAGATCACGACAGGACAACATCAAAGGGCAAGCACAAATTACTCTTTTTCCCTCAAATACCTTTCGGCAAAAGGAGTGAGGGACTCCTGATGGAGTATATGGCCCGGGAACCCCCGGCCCACAGACTCCTGCTACTCCAGTAAAGGTCCAACAGGCCCATAAGGCCCAACAGGCCCAAATCACAGCGCCCAAAGTACCAAGCAGCCCGCACTACGCGCCAGGGGTGCCTTCGGCCCCCTGGCCGAAGGCTCTAAACTCCCACAGAACGGGTTTTTCAAGCAAACTAAGAAACTGGGAGAAAACGGCAAAAACAGAAGCCCTCGGCACCAGGAGCCCTCGGCACCAGGGTGCCATCGGTTTGAGGAGCCATCGGCTGCTGCTCTATAGTCGAAGGCACCTCTCCCGACATGATATCCGCCCCACATGCGTACAGATCACCGTACCCTGTACAGACGTCCCGTCCAACAGCCGCATTAAATGCGGCCACATGCGGCTGCCAACGCCAACCAGTTGAGGTGACCCCTCGGCCAATAGGCGCTTGACACGTGTCCCTGTCCGGCATTTATTGCTACTATAAATAGCACCCCATTTCCCCATTTGTAACCACGACATTCATACTGAATACACTCTCTCTCTTACTTACTCGTGCTCTGACTTCTCTCTAAGTTATTCCCAGCAATAACCACTCGGATATATACCCCCCGGGTAGACTATCCATCATCTAGATAACTTACATAAATTCATTCAACAATCAATTAAGAAAATTCATAAGTATTATTATTTACCTGTTCCATAATCGACCATTGGAGATATACTTTGCTACGTCGTAGATAAATAAAATTTTAATCCAATAAGAGCTCATGCTCATCAACGTGTTTGTAGTTTATGTTTCCTTGTTGAGATTCTACATATAAACCTGAACATGAAAATTAAGTTATACAAAGACGACACTTAAAACCAGAAAGGGAAGACCATGGCATAGAGACATACCTTGTTGTAAAACATTTGAGATGTGTAGGCTAACCGATGAAGCTTCCAATGCTTTGATAAACCTAAAATATTAAAAAAGAACATAATTAAAACCAGGAATGTCAGCCACCTTGATTTCAGAAATCTGTATAACATTTGAAAACATATACAAAAGTTCAGAAGCACGGAAATATTTTAAATGAAAAAATCCATAACCATAAAAAAGCAAAGGTCACTGAAGTTAGTGATATTTAGATAATGAGCTGATTTAAATGTGAAATGCCATTAGTTTCATACATTTTCACGAGATAAAGAAATCATAATTAGAAAAAAGAGATCAAATTTGAAATATTGGAGCTCCCCCCCTTGATGCCCCAATCATACTCAGGTCCACCAGGATTATGACTTGCACTCATTGCACTCATAGAGAAGATGAAGTTGGGGTCAATGAGCTGGCCGAAAATAATCTGCAGCTGCGTAATGAGTAAATGCATTGTGTTTAACTTTTAATGAATAAGAGTTTTTTTTACTAAAAAGTAGGGGAGGGAGTCATTAAAAAAATCATGTGATAATATTTTTCTTACACTAAAAAACCATTCCATTCCGTTCTATTATAACTACTGAAAAAAGGAAGGAATAATCATTAACTAAACTTAAGATAGTTAAAGAAAATACCAACAACGTTAGGAGTGGTAGATGAGGGGAGGATTTTATGAACCCAAATTCCCTAGGAGTGTGTTTTCACAAGGAAACAAAATCCCAGACCGATATGCTGAATAAAACCCAACTGGCGCTCACTAGATGGGAGCTGCAATTGGCCAATGGTTATCTGCAATTAAAACGGTATGGTGAATAAAACTAAACTTATTAAATTGATGCAGTTCAAAAATTATGTTTTACCGGATAAATGACAATTGGGAGGAGATTGAAAGGAAATTACCAATTTCATAAGTTGTTCTTGACTAACCAGTGACGAACAATAAAGGTAAGCTGCCCAACCTTTGTGCTTTCACATGACTACGAGACCATAATTGGCGGGCGATTAAATGATTAAGTAAACTAGAAATTCAATCAAAACTAACGGAAACAACAAAAGCGATTCGTATTTACCTGTATGCAGCAGACCACTTCACACGCATGCTTTATCCCTAACTATTTCTTCCTGGGCGGCTGAAAGGAGTAAACCTACCCAAACGTTTGGGTGGCTAGGACTTGAACAATTCGTATTCATCAATTCAATAACTAACATTTTATTTGAATTAAAAAAAATCAACAATTTTAATTGAAAATAAAATTATCAAAAGAACAGTTAAATTCAGCGGATTAGCGCCTTACCTGGAGATAGGAGGAGTGATCGGAGGACCGTCGTCCGTCGCACCGGAGATTGAGTCGGATATCAGAAGAAGGGCCGAATGAGTGGCGTCTTGCAGACTTGCGCGCTTCAGTTCGACATGTCCTTCCCGTGCTCCGCTCTCTGCCAGGTTTAGGCGCTTCTGTGATCTTTTAGCACGCAGGGCTTTCACTTGGGTCTGGGTACGTGGGCCGAGGTGGGCAGATTTTCACGCAGATGATCCACACAAGGCTAAGCAATTAAGAGTACAGACTACAGATTAACGGAGTATTTGCTGCGGTTACTCTACGACCGCAGCAAAAAGTATGAGTTTTTGCTACTTTTCGTGGTGGTTGTAAAGAAACCGCAACAAATACTTATAAATTTTGCTTATTTGTTACGATTTAGATAAGAATCACAGCAATTGGACAGCAACAAATAAAGAAAATTCGAGTAGTGAATTATGTTTTTAAAAATTCTGATGAGTGAAATGTTTGGTAAAATCATACGTACTTTATGGGGCAATTACTGATTTTGTTAAAATTTTATCAATGTAATAATTATATTACTCCGTATTACTGATTTTGTAACTTTTATTTCGTAATATATTACTTCATATTATCTTATCACACATTTACACATTATATGAATACTTTGTTGTTAATATTATATAATAAATGATAGTATGTCTTTTTAATATATTTTGTTCTGTGCATCGCACGAGTGAGAATCTAGTTTATCACAGATGAGTTGCACACTTCATTTTAAGATGAAATATATATGTAATAATCTGAAATTAAATGTTATTACTACCTAGTTCATTACACGATTCCCGGTCTCTTGGGGCCAACCACAATAGCCCCTACATTAATTTTCGAGTTCCTCTTATTAGTCGATTATTAGTAATCTTTCTCCTCCTATTCGATTTTCATTTTTTAATGATTGATTCTAATCGATTCGGTTATATTACTTTCACAGCTTCTATATTTACTTGGAGTTGAGATGTTTGTACTTGCAATGTTTTCAGTCCCAGACCAGACTTAAACTGACCAGATCAAACAGACTTAAAAAGATCAGATCAGATCAGATCAGACTTAAACACACCAGATCAGACCAGACTTCCGTAGTTATAAAATATACAAATACCAGACGTTTACCAGACTACACTTAAACAAACCAAACCATACTAGCAAATTACAGTCCAAGTAAAAACATCATTCGAACGCAGATGCTGGATATTGCTTTAGATTCCACTTTTATTCTTTTCCCATTATGTTTGTGGTTTTTGCACTTTACATATCAACACTTTACATGATTTTTGTATTGCAATAAAAAATAGATCCATAATTTTGAGTTTCATATGCTTCCTTATAGAGATTCTTCTCGAGAAATGGTGCTAAATAGGAGCTTAACTTATGGTATGTAATTAAATAAGAGCTTGACTTTTTTTACTCCTAAATAGGACCTAATTTTAGGAAGTTTCCCAAATTGCCCCTGTTTCTTAAACTAATACAGAAGCTCAGATTGCCGTTATTTTCATTCTCTCGTTCAGCTTAGCCTTCAAATTAGATGATCTTCATCTCACCTTCGATGAACTGCTGCGATCGATGAACTGCTGCCATCGATCAACTGCTGTGATATTCACAGACTATCGCTCACATGTTATTTGCTACGATCACATAGTTTTATCGTTCGCTTTTTGTTTGCGACAATCATCTTCGCCTTCATCTTCGTTTTAAATTTCAGGTAATTAATTTTATATTCTTGAATTGTATGATGATTGTGTATCAGAATTGTTTTCATTTGTGTTTACTTGTTGATAGTCGTATGAAGTTTTATTGCAGTTCTATGATTAGGAGAGCTGGAAGTATTATGAATGCTTTATCATCATTATCGTTTTTCCTGTCTCTAATCTTCTTTAATGTTCATTATTTTTTCCTTCTTTTCATATTTCTTATTACATACGCTTTACTCTTCTGGATTTATCTTTGGTTTGACATTGTAGATAATTCATGACATTGTTTTAAATGCATGTCATTTGTTGTATTTCCAGGTGTCGCAGACATGGATAATAATATTCTTGTCATGGTTAAAGTTGATGGATACTGGAATCCTGATAATGTGTTTCATAATAAACACATGCTTGGTGTTTCTGTTTTGTTTGGTTCTTCCTATAGTGATTTCTGTGATAATTTGATACATAACATTTTCAAGGGAAGAATCGATAAAGATTTTAGGATATCTTACATTGTTGAGTCATGTCCTCCCCCTGTTTTTATAGATGATGATACAAGCCTTACTTTTTATCTAACTTTGAAAATCTTACATCCATATTTTTTCCAGTTTCCAATTTGTGTTGAGTTCATTGCACATCAAGTTCCTTCAAAATGTCATACTTCTCATAATACTTTTATCCTCATACCTTCAGAAAGTATATCATTTGATTCACCAAGTGTTCCCTCTTCTTCTTCAGTTGATTCTTTTTGTCAACTGGTGTTTATAAGGATGTTAAAGTTTATACGCACACTGATCCTACCACTATAGCATTGTATGCTATATACAAGAATAAACATGATCTTATATATCACTTGAAGTTGTATGCCATTGAGAACAACTTTCAGTATGTGACTAAAACTTCAAGAAAAGAAAGTTTACATGTTTTTTGTCCTGATGAGAAATGTGAGTGGGCTGTTCATGGTGTTCGTCTTCCTGATGTGGACTTCTTTCAGATTCGCAGGTTCAATTGCAACTTTAACATTTTTATTTATTTATTTATAGTTGTAATTATCAGTTACATTAACTTTAATTTTCACTTCTTCTTTTTCAGATTTGATTCAACTCATTCTTGTTCAGTGGATTTCAGAGAGGGTGATCACAAGCAGGCCACTTATGACATTGTTGCAGGCATGGTTATTCATCGTTACTCCAATGCTTCTAAGAAACCCTATCCGCCAAATGACATAATTGACGACATCCGTAGAGAATTTGGCATCTCTTTGTCTTACCGTAAAGCTTTGGCAGTTAAGCGACATTCAATGAAGCTTCTCTTTGGATCCGATGAAGAGTCATATCAATTATTACCTTCCATGTGCCATGTCATTGGAAAAGCTAACCCAAAGTCTGTCATAACTCTTGTTCGTCATGCTGATTCTGTTTTCAAGTACATGTTCATGTCATTGTCTGCATGGAGGGAAGCTTGGGATCACTGTATTCCTGTCCTAACAGTTGATGGTACTTTTATGAAGGGCTATTTCAAAGGGACTTTGCTCACTGCCTGTACCAGGGATGCCAACCGTCAGCTTGTTCCATTAGCTTTTGGGATATGTGATTCAGAAAACAAGGATTCCTGGAAATGGTTCTTTTCACAATTGAAACTGGCTTTATCTTATAGACACAATTTATATATTGTTTCTGACAGGAATGTTGGAATTATTAAGTCTGTTAAAGATGTCTTTCCTTTAGCTGGACATGATTATTGTGTTCACCATTTAGCTGGTAACATTCGGTCGCAGTTTAAGGGTTCTGCTGATGGTAAAGAGTGGAAGTTTAATGCTGCAGCACGAGCTTCTACTTACAAGGAGTATCAAGAATATATGGCTTTGTTGGATTTGGAGGATCCTCGTATAAGAGCATATTTAGATAAGATTGGAAGTGATAAGTGGGCAAGGTGCATGAGTGGTCCGTATAGATATAATATCATGACTTCTAACTGGGCTGAGTCCATGAATAATGTCAACATTTGTGCTCGAGAGTATCCAGTAGCAAAATTAATTGATTTTATTCGTGAACGAATGCAAAAATGGTTTACAGAGCGTCGTGATTTAGCACATTCAACTACAACTATTCTGCCTAAAGAGCGTGAACATGAGCTTATAGTTCTGCAACGTGAAGCATTTCGTATGCAGGTATGACATTGTGTTTGTTAATGTTTGACATTGCTTGTTAAAGTTGTTGACATTTTGTTTAAATCTTTGACATTTTCTCATAATAACTGAATTTCATTTTATTTTTCCTTTTTGCTTAGATTAGTTATTTACTGTTGCAGGTGAAGCCTTCTTGTGCTTACGAATTTCAGGTTGTTGATAGGCGCTGTCGATCTTTTGTTGTTGATCTGAAGAAAAAAATTTGCACATGTTGTGCATTCCAATTGGATCAATTTGTGTGTGTACATGTTGTAGCAGCGATTTCCAAAGCACCAAACATGTCATGTTATGATTTCATTTCGCCTTTTTATAAACGTGACGCGTTGTGTGCTACTTACAATGGGATTGTTCATCCAATTTGTGATGTTGCTGCATGGAATGTCTCTGCTGATGTTCAAAGTATGATCTGCAAACCACCTAAGTGTGAAAAGAGGCCAGCTGGAAGGCCAAAGAAGAAGAGGATACCATCTGTTGGAGAGTTTCCTACATTTAAAAAATCAAAAAAACAGAGATGTTCACGTTGTACTGGTGTTGGGCATAATCAGAAGACTTGTAAAAATCCAATTCCCCATGTTTAAAAAAACAAAAAAAACAGAGATGTTAAAGTTGTACTGGTGTTTTTGCACTTTAGCAGTACATTTTTACTGCTAAATACTATTGGTGTATTTGACATTCTTATATTTAGAATGACACTTTTAAATGTAATTTCTGAAATTTAGATTGAGATGTTCACATTTACCATTTCATTTTCTATCCTTTGCAATGATAAAACATTTCTAGAATGACATTCTGGCTATAAAATCATTGTCATTGTCATTACATTTTCAATGTAATTTTTCAATATCAAAGATATTTGGATAATGTCATTTTCTAATTTTTCAATATCATTTGCAATGTCATTACAATGGTAATGTAAAGACGCATTCTGGCAATAAGATCATTGTCATTGTAATTACATTTTCAATGCAATGTCATTTTCTACTTTTCAATGTCATTTGCAATGTCATTAGAATGATAATGTAAAGACAATGAATGCATTGATGTTGTGAATGTCATTGAAATAACAATGCTATTTCAATGTCAAAGATATTGTCATTACATCTGAGATACTGTTCAATAAAATGGAATGACATTCAAAATGCACTATAATAACATTGGAATGTCATTTGCATAAATTGAACAAAATAACGAAGTGCAATAATTTGTTCAATGCAAACAGATAGTAGTTGTTTCACTAAGTATATTACACACGATTGTATTAGAACATCATATCATATCATATAAAGCACTTCAGTCCTGCCCACATCTTCACTTTGCTGCCACATCTTCAACCCAATGCTTCCTTCATCCTTCTTTCGTTATACAGTATCAACTTTGTCATCATTTTTTCTCTAAATAGGGGCATGTCTTCAGATTTGATTTCCTGAATATCCCTTCCCATCATCAGAAATTCAGCAAATTTCAAAACAAACATTCCACAGTTTCCACTGCATGAAGTAAAGGCAAAAACACAACATTAAAATCTAATAATTTTATTAGACAAAAAAAATATATATTTCAATATATTGAACTTACCAATCATCCTGTTGTGGACAATTTTCCACTGCTTGAACTGTGAACTTATCATCTTTTATATGTTCCATCATGTCATACACTCCGTAATTGTCAAGGATAAGATGTAACATCTCTTTCAAGCAAGGAAGATATTCAACAATGTCTCTAAGTGATTGACCCCGATTTGCTTTTGAATTGTAAACCCTTATTATTTTGGTGTTCATTTCTATAACCAGCAACACCCAATGGCTACCATTACACACAGGCATGTACACAAAATCTGATTCACTCCATGGCATTCCATATTCGCATGTCATTCCCAAAATTTCTGACACTATAGTATCATGGTCAGATGCATCTTTCAATGTCTTATTGTTATTCTTTATTTCGTTATGTGCTGTCTTCAGAATTTGAATGAAATATGGACCCACAGAAGCATATTTCTGTGGTAATTTGTACTGTGCTCTTTTGAAATTCAAATAGTACATGCACACTGCCATATGCTGCAATATAAAGAGTTTCATAAATATTTAATAAAATTATAAATTTACATAGCAAACAATTTGAGTATTTATTATATCAAACCACTACTTACAGAATCAGTCAACCATTCTTGATTGAAAAACAGTTCGTAGAGCCATGTTTTTGACCTTATCTCAAAGTCATCAACTATAAAAGGCATTTTGTCCAGAACCTCAAAATTCTTTTTGTACTTCCTAGCATCCTCAAATTTCCTCCTATTTTTCAGCAGTCCAATATTCAAATAAGTCCTTGTTTTCTCAATTGCATTAACAGGTGGCATCTCAAAAGGGTCAAGTGCAAATGGCCCGTACAATGACTTTCTTTCATTCATTCTTAGTTTCAACATTTTCTTCTCTAGCCTTTCCACCTTAGCTTTCTTTCTTTGTTGCACAAGTTCTGTAGGAGTGTATTTGTCAGGTTGAGTGGCAGTCCTTTTTGGCCTTTTAAACTTTGCCAATGTCTCTTGAATAGGTATTCTTTCTGCATAAACCTGCATTGCGAAATTCAAATTATATTCCACTCCCAATGTCATCCGCAATGGTATTGATAGAAACTATGTAATTGCCAATGAGATGCCATTAGAAATGCCATTATCAATGTTATACTATCACCAATGTCATTTCTCAGAGTCATTGTAATCGCATTGTACTTCATACAATGACATTCGAAATGGCATTGCCAATGGCATTGTACTATATAGATTGCCAATGTTATGGCATTTTAAATGCCATTGTCAATGATATATCTATAACATTCTCATGCCATTTTTAGGAAATCTTATATTATCACCAATAAAAATTTATGTTGTTGTTTAATTTACTATTTACCACTATTGCTTTTTCATTGTTACTTCTGAATTCCTTTTCTCCAGAACTCTGACCATCTTTATCCTGCAGTAACAAATCAGAATGTCACAAATAGACCTATAGAAATGTTTTCAATTATCATTGTCATTACCTTGTTTTTTATAATATCATTCACGATATTATCGACCTGCTGTAGATCTTCAGGTGAAAATTGAGTGTCTTCCAACAATAGAGATTTTTCATTGTTAGACATTGTCTTTTCAGGAGGTGTTGGAGTGAAGTGCAAATCAAAACTTGGCAAATCAGAACCCCCCATATTCTGCACTTCTTTAACATTTTCTTTTTCAAACACTTCTTCAGCCTTTTCTTCTTCCATTTCCTTTATAGAAACTTCGTTTTTAGAGATTTTATCCTCCCCAGATTCATCAGACTCCTCAGCATCTGGCTTATTATCATTTTTTCACCCTCCCCAGACTCCTCAGCATCTTTTTCTTCCCAGACTCCTCAGCACCTGGCTTATCATCATTTTTTTCACCCTCCCCAGATTCCTCATCATCTTCTTCTTCTCCAGACTCCACAACATCTTGCTTATTATAATCTTTTTCACCCTCCCCAGACTTCTCAGCATCTTCTTCTTCTCCAGAATTATCAGACACATCTACATCTTCTTGTTCACTAGAATCATTCTCTTCATATTCTTCCTCAGTTGTGTCATCATCAGAACTTGTATTACAGTCAAGCTCAACTTCTTGTACAATCTTCTTCCCCTGCACTGTCTTGCCAGAATCTTTTATTTCATACCCTTTCTTCAGAAGCAATGCCAATATCTGCTCAAACATTTTATCATGTTTCTTTAGGGTATCTTTGATACCCTTCAGCTCTTTCAAACATATTACTTGAAACTGATCTTGTTCAGAGTTGCTTTGACTCTCAGTTTCTGCCTGCTCTTTACCTTTTTTGCTTTTTGTTGCTTTCCTTCTCAAAGTAGTACTTTTCTTGGCTTTTTTGAATTCAATTTCCGATTCCTCTTTACCATTCTTGCTTGATGCTTTTCTTTTCAAAGCAGTTTTTTTCGGTATTCTCTGTGATCTTCTTTTATCTATTCCAGACTGCATCTTGCCTTCATTGTCACTCTCATAGATCACCTTCTCCACAGCTGCATTCACATCCACTATGCTTTTTTCATTTCTGGTTGTCCACATATTTGCTATATTAGCATCTTCAAGCTCTATTGTTGTTGGAACAATAGGCTGGAACTCAAACTGCAATGGTTGTAATATCATAAGTTTAACAAATCAATATATCTTTTAAAATTATAGATTTAAATGCATTATATTAAATTAACAATGTTATCAATTTCATTTCCAATGTCAATGTCGTTCAAATGTCAATGTCATTGGAAATGATAAGTCATTGCCATTGTTGTGTTATTGGAACGTTATACCATTTTCAACGACAATGGCAATGTGATAACATTGTCAATGGCAATGTGATAACATTGTCAATGGCAATGTGATAACATTGTCACTGGCAATGTGATAACAATGTCACTGGCAATGTG